CCCTCCCTCCCTCCCTTCCTCCCTCCCTTCCTTCCTTCCTTCCTTCCTTCCTTCCTTCCTTCCTTCCTTCCTTTCATATTGAGCTGCCAATCGTGCTATGGCCTGGCTTCTTCCTGGCAACTCTTTTCAAAGCACTTTGCCATTCTTTCTCTCTTTTTTTTCCAGCTTGAATGCAGGGGAGGTATATTTATGCTCACCCAGAGTACACATGCTGGGACTTTGGGGTTGCCTCTCCTGTTGTCACCCCCAGGAAATTGCCTCGGCCCTCTATGGCTAGGGCTGCGACTATTCTTGGCTTCTTTGCAATAGCTCCCTTTTCTGGAGAAAGAAACCAGAGCCAGAATAGGGTGGGGGAGAGTGGAAAGAGCAAGAAGCTAAATTAAGAGCGTCTGTTTGAATAGAGGCCTTTTTGTCTTGAGTTTATGGAGTGAGAGGCTGGGGCTTCCTGCTACACAGGAAGCACAGATTGGAACCAGATTGGTAGGAGAAGGGAGGGCCAGCAGGAAGGGGTGGGGGTGGGGGGGGGGACTTCAGCTTTTCAGGGCTTGGGCTGTCAGGCCTCTGTTCCTTCCCTCCTGGTTCAGATCATGCTGCATGGCCCCAGGGCTTGGTTACACCCCCGCCATCTAGCATTGCCAAATGTTGTATATTTTTAAAGGGTATCTCAGATTTCTAAACAGCACAGCTCTGCAAATGGCCCCTGCAATGACCACAGATGTAATACTTAAATGTGGTGAAAGGGGGTGGGGGTGGCCTTGGTAATGAAAGTTTGTGACATTTTGAATTTGAAAAATCTTCTCTGCAGCCCTAGTTTATCCAGCTGTGGAGGGATTGTGCCTGTACCAAGTATAGCAGGATAGCTCAAGGGGCTTAGAGGTTGTGGTGTTCCGAAGACAGGCGTGATGCTTTTAACTGCGCAATTTCGAAGCCTCCTTTGCATATAGTTTTACGCAGGGTTCAGTGAAGTTTGCCTTCCTCTTTAATTGTCAGTGCTTTTACCAATGCACCTCTTCCCCTTTCTCAACAACAGATTCGATAAGGGAGATAAAGATGGAATAGAGAGGCAACATCTGTGATTGTCACAGTTGGGAGCTTTCTCTGTAGATGCACCTCTGGATCTTTGGAATTTAGGAAGCCACCTTATAACGGAGCGAGATCATTGTTCCAGCAGGCTCCCTATTGCTGGGAAGGATGGACTGATGGGTTCGAGAATGGAATCTTTCTCTGCAAATCTAGTGGAGGCAGGCATTGAATCACAGAAAAAAAAGTTCCCTTTTGAGGCACAGTCTCCACACGCCTTCCAGATATGTTCAACTGGGATTCTCATCAGCATAAAATCTCGTTGGGAATCATGGAAGTTAGAGTCACAAAGATGTCTGGATGGAAGATACTTGAGGTAGAAAGGTTTACTGAGCTATGCTGCTCCCATGAGAGGGTTTGCAGTAAAGGAAGCCACAAAGGTTCCTGACTGAACTGTTTACCCTCCAAGTAATTAGGTTGAGTCTGTGATCAGAGGTCTCATTAACGGCTTTCACTACCATCCCTCCCACTCAAGTCGTATACTTGACAGCTGTTGATGGATTTCAAAACTCCGTTAACAAAATGGGTCCTACAGACCTGAAACCTTAACTGCTGCTTTTCTTGGCACTGCCAACATATTAGAGAACAGCAGCCGAGAAGACAGGGTGTCAAGTCTGTATTACCTCAGAGCAGGGAGAGGGCCATTTAGGAGCATCCATCTTGCTTCTTTTTCAGGGGTGAATAAAACCCCTCCAGTTAAATCCTGATTTTATTCCCGACGTGAAATTGGAGTGGAAAGGGAGGAAATGGGAGAGAGGAGGAGGAGCAGCAGCGGCATCAGGAGATGGGAAGGGGGATAGATCTGCAAAAAGGAATGGAGAGCTGTACCGAAGCCAAGAACTTGTGGAGTTGATTAAGCCGCATATGGGAGCCATTAGTTAGCAAGGCTGGTGATTGGGGGAAGGCAGCTCTTATCCTGGCGCCAAAGGATTCCCCCTCCCCAAGATTCATTGGAAATTTGTTTCTCATGCTGGAGCAGATTTTGGGGTGGGGATGGGCTAGGAAACAATCTTTCAGAGAACTGTGCAGGGCTGACTTGAGTAGAGAAAATCAGAGAGAATAATGCTGTGGCGTGGGAATCAAAGAGTTTTGGGAGTAACGGTTAGCTTGGGACCTCAATAGCCCCTCTTCCTATTTCCATCTAATCAACTCACTCTCCCGTCTCCTTGTAGCCTTGGCTTTGAAGAGTAATCTTTTGACACGAACAAAAAAAATCCTGCAAAGTCCTTCCTTGACTACGGACAGGACGGTTTGATTTCCACTGTCTGTGGTTAGTCCCTTGGCTGCTATAGAGGCAGAGAAAGGAGAAGAGAAAGAGATGAACAAGAGGTGCAAAGGTTTCCCAGCAAGTGTGAGTTGAGAGACTGAGTAGCCATATGGCTCCTAGGCTCCTGCTCTTGTTACCAGCAACGTAAACGAGCAAATGGAATAGGCCATATGGTCCCAAATGGTCAGAATAAGCTTCATTAGCCTCACGTGCATTTGAGAATTATTTCCTTATAGTTTGGGGACTCTGTTGTGTACAGTGATTTAATCTGAATTACATGATGGTTTTTCAATTAAAACTCTCTCTGTTTGATAGCGCTGTGCATCTTGAGTTCCCTATCCTTCTCCCCATGCCTTTCTTTATTTGCTTCTGTGTGGGTTTGAAATAAAATAGGCAAGTGTTCTTGCCTATTCAAATTGTAAATCCAGGCACCATTTGCTAACAGAGCTCACTTACTAGTGAAACACATAGATGGAAGAAGGTTGATTCTTCTGAAAGGAATTCCTGTCTGTAAGTTACATATCTGTGTCACCTGTCCTGTGTGGTCCAACCACGGATCCAAATTGGTCTCAGAATTTGTGCGTGTTCAAGCATATGCATAGAGGAAGTGGTTTTAGATTTGATGGATACATGGAAGATGGGAAGCATGGCAGTGCTTGATCTAGTCAAGAATCTATGGATGGAGGAAACATGTGGGTACCATGACTGTACGGGACTTTAAAAAAAAAAACACTCAAGTTCACATACACAGCAAAGTCAGCTATCTGCATTCCATCTGAAGTTCCTGCAAAGTTGGCTCTATTTCAACTGCGTCCTGCACTAAACTGCCTTTGCAGGAAGCCCAGGGGAGCACTTGTGGAGACCGTTCGGTTTCCCCCATTTTGTACTTTCACCATTGGGGAAAAGAACAGGGACAATGAAAGGAGCCCCAAATGGGCATGCCCCAGGCAACGGTGATGTCACTGGTTGATTCTTTCACCATGGAAGAGGTTCGATGCTTCCAAAATGGAAGCATAGTATAAGGGAGGAAATAGACTATCCAAAGTGGCCTGTTTCTGATGTTTACAGAAATGGACTTGCTTTGGCTGCTGTGCGCTTTCTAGTGGGAAGATACAGGATAACTGAGAACGGCTTTAGCCGTTCATACTATATAGTCCTATGATTTTACTATATTGAGATCAGTGGTGGGATTCAAATTTTTTTTACTACCGGTTCTGTGGGTCATGGCTTGGTGGGCGTGGCAGGGGAAGGATACTGTAGAATCTCCAGTCCGAGGTGGGATTTGCAGGTTCTCCAAACTACTCAAAATTTCCGCTACCGGTTCTCCAGAACTGGTCAGAACCTGCTGAAGACCACCTCTGAAGGAGACATGTAAAAAGGCTCTCGGCTGCTCCCCTTGAGTACCAGGATAGGGAAAGCTACTTCAAGGTATTCCAGGAAGTCTTGCAATATTGCAGGATGAGTCTTGGATTTTAGTGCTGCTCTTACTGAAATCATCCAGCCTGAAAAAGAAGGTTATGGTAAGACCCAGAAATTTTCTGACAGAACAATCAAGCGGTGGAACAGCTTGCCTTTAGAAGTTGTGGGAGTTTCATTACTGGAGGCTTTCAAGAAGAGATTGGACTGCCATTTGTCAGAGATGATGTAGGGTCTCCTGCTTGGGCGGAGGGTTGGATTAGATGACCTACCTACAAGGTCCCTTCCAACTCTGTTAATCTAATATCTTGGAAGCAATCCTCCTCCTTACCCATGTCTTATATTACTTCGTGACATTATATCAATACCATCTGCTTTCTTTAACCTGGATATTGTAATCCAAAATCATCTGGAAGTCATGGCACCCGGTACAGGAAACTTTTTAAAGCCTTCTTAGACCCTTTGTGTGTTGCTAAGAAAGATTCTGAACAATAATGTTTTGGTTTGTCCTATGATTTTCTTTTACGATTAAAATTAAAAGGATCAGTGACCTTAAATTGTGCTATGTGAAAGAACAGTAAACCTGACATGCCATTTTTCTTTTCTTTTTTTAAAAATAAATTTTATTAAGTTTTCAAATTTTAAAAAACATAAAATAAAACTTTATACACTGTTATCAATATCAAGACATCTTTTGTATCTCCTTAAATTTTTCAGTATATGTATTTACTTAATCCTTTACCATTACATCTTACTCTTGCTACAAATCAATATCTTTTATCCTTACACATCAATCTTCTCTATGGTATATTTACATATTCCCTCATTCTTTTCCTAATTGCCTGACGTGCCATTTTTCATGGGGAAGGGAGAGAGATGGGTACAGCTCCATCTTCAAAAAAATATCCTAACAACTTTCATACATTAAAAAAAAAAACTTCATCCATACACACGAAAGAAATCAACCTAAGAAAACAATAAACTAAATGCACAAAAAAGAGGAAAAAAATGTCAAGAGATTACAAACTATGCATACTTCCATTGAACCATATATAAATGTTTAGAAGTTAAAGTTAAAGAAATAATAAATGAGAATAGTCTTTTTATTATAAAGCAACACTGAAGCTTCCATTAGCCCTTATCCTACGGAAAAGGAGTTGATTGAACCAAGAGATGGGATATAGTTTTTTAGGTAGGCACAATGAAGAAGTGACCTCTTCCATTAGAGCGCTAAGCAGGAATCTAGTAGGGCGTCCATAGGGCTTTGGTAGATACCAATACAGGTAGTCCTTGACTTACAACCACAGTTAAGCCCAAAGTTTTCTGTTGTTAAGTGAGATGTTTAAGTGAATTTTGCCCCATTTTACAACCTTTCTTGCCACAGTTGATAAGTTAGGAACACAGTTGTTAAGTGAGCCTGGCTTCCCTGTTGATTTTGCTTGTCAAAAGGTTACAAAAATTGATCCCATGACCTCGGGACACAGCAATGGTCACAAATCAGTGGCCAAGCATCTGGATTTTGATCACATGATCAAGGGATGCTACAAAGTGTGAAAAACGGTTATAAACCACTTTTTTCAGAGCCATTGCAACTTTGAAAGGTCACTGAATGAACCGTTATAACTTGAGGACTACCTGCACTCTTGGGATTTAGACAGAAGAGGCAAAATTGTCCATATCTGCCATTTTTAAAAACAAAGAGGATTTGCTTAGGAGGCTTATAGAAATGATGCAGTCCAAGCCAGTTCCTCCCTAACTGACCAGTCAGCTTGCCCAGGACAGTATCCCTTTGTGCCGCCTGACCCCCCCCCCCCCCCCAGATGTTCCTCCAGCCAGGGCACTTCCTGCTATGAACTAATAATCAGCTCCAATGGCTCCCTTGTTACTGGATGGGACGTTTCTTGCCTGCTTTGCCTAGGGCCAACAATGCAAAGAGCAAAGGGGTCTGCAAGTTTTGGGGCCTCTTATGAAGAAAAGGATAATTGTATGTTGTCAGGACGTCCATTCAATGTGTCTTTGTGTAATAGAAAGCTACAGAACATGAACAAGTAAAAAAAAGAACCCTGTAGGGTCCCCCTCTCTCTCTGCTCTGCATCCAGTTTGTATATCCAGAGATGAGAAGACAAGCCGGAATGAACCAGATTATCCAGCGTTGGCTTCCCATGGGAAATGCAAGAGGAATGACTTCCTCTGCTCTACATTATGGCATTTTCCCCCCTCTGGTTTTGGATATGTTGAACTGTCTTTTCAGGAGGAGGACTGGTTTTCATTGGAAGCCTGCCATTTCTGTTTATCAGAAATTCTGTTCTGCCTTTCCTTGAAGACTCTCAGATGTGTGTGTTTTAGTCTTATGATAACCTTGCGAGGTAACTGAGGGAGTTGAAAGGAAAATGACCTTCTTGGCCAATCTAATTCTGGCTTTCTTTATCCTAATCAAATGCTCTCAACCACAGCACCACAGTGGCTTTTGGGGTGGCAATGATTAATTTTCCTTGCGGTTTGAAATGCTGGGTCTGATTAGAATTGGTCAAGTTATTATCTTTTATCTGTGTTGGTTTTTCTTATGTTCCCCTTGGTTAGATTAAAGAGCCGCTGTTTGATACCTAAAACCTCTTCTGTGAAGGTATATTACAATCCGTTCACCTCTTAACCTTGTTTTTGATAAGATGAACAGTCTGAATTTCTAAGGTCCTTGGCTATAAGATTCTTTCCCAACAGCTATTTTTGTTATTAACATCTCATTAGAAAATGAGCAGTAGATTTTGAACCAGACATAATGTTCATAATTTAGGTGGGGGGAAACCTTGCCTGTATCCTCTTGTTTTACTAAAATGATCCAAGTAATACAGATTACTTGGAGCTAGTATTTGGGGCCGCTGAATTTACCAATCCACCAGTAAGGTTCCTTCAAGCTGCAATGTGTAATATATTCATTTAGCACTAAGTCCCCCCATTTCGATGGATCTTATACCTTAGAAAATATAGTTGTGCGTATAACTTTGGATATAAGTATATCCATGGGGATATACTTCCAAATGAATCTAAGGTTTGACCCATTCTGTTTTTTTAAGAATTGGCTTTTCTGAAAGCTGCCTGTTGCAATTTTCTTGTACCAGCTGGGATAGGATTGTTCACACAGACCTTTTTTAAAAAAAAAAAATGATCTCCATGTGACTGATAAAGTAGACTTCACAAAGCTTATACTGTAATAAATGTCTAGCTTTAAAGTGCCCCGAGAGGCCGAGACTCTTTGTTGTGGTATGTTGCAAAAAGACTTAACTTGCTATTTCTTCTTTCTTCCCAGTATCAGCAGAAGACATGGAATTGCTGGGACAGAATTATTGTGCCTGGTTTTAATTCCAAAGGAGAAGTTGTTACCTTGAGAGACATCTGTGATCATATCCAGGTAAAGGCAATTGTTCCAATTTCAGGAATAAATTCTGGCAAATGCCCAAGGGTATAGCTTGGGGTGTTCAGTCCTACACTCTACTTGTAGTAAGAGTGTTCTCTTCCTTCCTTAGCAGGCAGGGTTACCTTTTCTGTGCAGAGGGTTAGCTCCGTAAATGTGTATATTTGGCTTTCCAGTGTTACATCCAACCTCATTTGTGAACAAACATAAAGATGATTTTCATCCAATATTTCACATACAGAGACCTTATGGGATTCTATCCCAGTGCCATTTTTTTCATTAGCCACTATTGTGTTCAATATGCTTCCTGCTCACAGTAAACTCATGTCTTTCAGCCTGGTTGTCCCAACTCATTCATTTTGTTTAACCCTTCTTCATTGTTTTTCATTTTCATTCTCATAATTGGATGTCCTGTATTTACACAACTATCCATCATCGTATTCTTCCAGCTCAACCTTCTCAAACTTGGTTACCCTCCAGATGGATGTTCTGTGATTCCCCAAGAGATAGCTAGGCTAGTTTTTCATTGCATGCTAAGTATAAAAACATGTGGCATTTTGAAGAGTATCGTACTCATTAGTCCACTCTTGGGTAAGAGTTGGAGATTGTGAAGTTTTCAAACATGTTTGCAGGCCATCACGTTCCAAAAGACTATTCTAGATCTTTTCTGTGTTCCCCTCGGCTGTTCCAACTTTATCTTGGTTTAGTGATCTTCAGTTAAAGGATTTTAATGTGATATTGATTGCGTTGACTGTTTTTCATAGAGGGAGCATGACCTTGTGCCTCAGAAGTTGCTATTTGGGGCAGCCACTCTCTATGATAAGGAAGATGAAATCAAAGAGGAACAGCCTCCTTTCAGGTAAGAATTTAACAGAGATATATCCTTAAGCATTTAATAATAACTTATAATCTGAGTGCTACAAATTGTCCCCAACCTCCTTTTTTGTAGCCTCTGGTCCTCCCTTTCTCCATACTGCCTAATTTTAGATTCCTAACAAACACATACAGTAATAACTTGGTTGAAACGTAATAGATTTCACATCATTAGTTAAAGTCATTTCTCACAGACTTCAGACTCCTCTTATTTTCTATATATCGCCAACCAATCCACTGGAGATTTTGGCCTTTAAAAACCTGTTTATGTGGGCTCTCTGGGTTTAAACTTTTTTTTTTAAACAGATCATAATCAGAGTCTTGAGATTGCCTCCCTGCATGAACAACATTTCAGAAGGCATCCTGTGATCCATAGAGAGATATTATTGAACCCTAATCTTCATAGCTTCAGTCTCTAGTCCCTAGAGCAGAGCCATTGGTGAGGGTCTATCTGACCAAGGCAGGGAAAGCTCTTACGAATTGAACTGACAGAAAAGACTTCTAGTTTGGAGGCCCATCTGTAAAAGCTATGCCCAGCTTTAAATTCTAGGCTCCATTCTCATTCTCATATTCTCTCTCTCTCTCTCTCTCTCTCTCTCCCTCCCTCCCTCCCTCCCTCCCTCCCTCTCCCTTCCCCTTCCTCCCTCCCTCCCTCCCTCCCTCTGTGTATGTGTGTGTGTGTGTGTGTATAAACACACGTGAGGCTGTCTTTCAGCCCTAAAAAGGCTTCCATGACAATTTAGTTATTAAAATGCTGTTTTTAAAAGCAGAAGAATATAAAAACAGATCAAATGAAACAAGGTCAGTCTCAGTTTAATATGAAACTATGTCAAGCTTCCCAGGCTTTCAGAGTCTCTTTCGATTAACCCTATACTAAGAGTGGCTGCTGGTGCCCCAGAAAAAGAAGGGCCTGGTTAGACGATCTCTAGGAATCCTTCCATCTTTCTTCCTTCTGTGATTGCTGAGGTTGAATATTTGCTCTGCCTGGGCCTCCGCTTGCCCGGTTTTGTTGGCTGGAGAACAGCCCACTGTCCAGCTGTGCTTGGGAAGCCGGTCAGCAGAGGGATCCTCAGGAGTGAAGGATAGGGAGGCCATGGCTACCCCATCGCAGGGCCCCTCCAAGTACAGCCTGGGTCCTGTATCTGCAGCAGCTGCAAAGCCTCTAATGTCCCTTCCCTTCCATGCCGGGTAAACATCCTGCTGTCAGCACCTCCTCCTCAACTTCCTGGGGTAGACAAAGCTCATCCCAGCCTCAAGCAGGCCCTTCTGGGCTTCTGCCAACCAGAGGCAACTGTAGTCTCTTGCTCTATAATCTTTCCAGACTCCCTGGCAGCTCTCCTGCTTTCAGCACACTCACTCTCCTTCTGTCCACACCCCCTGTGCAAAACCAGTCTGTAGATTCTCCCAGGCAGATGCTCCACTCTCACTCTGCTGCTTCCCAAGGAGAGAGCAAAAACGCCTGCCTGGCTTTCTGCTCCAGAGGGCTGGTGAGGTACCAGGTGGAGAGCCTGTGTCTGTTTGAGAACCTCAACTGGCCTGGCCGAGGTAGAGGATTCTGGAAGCTGTTGTTCAAAGATATTCCCCATCCATGCTCCAGTATAAAAGCTTGGAGAGAGACGGTATGGATGGAGGCTGACATAAGTTTAGCCCCTAGATGTGGAGCACCGTTCAGGCCGTGCTTTGGGAACAAATGCAACCGGGAAAAGGAAGCATGCTCCACATCTGGCTAATTGGATGCATCACGTCCTCCAACAACCACTTGCTAAGTAAAAACAGAGCGAGAAACTGCCTTTATTTCCTGCTTGAGGGTTTCCTCAAATGCATTCTGTCAACTGTAGATGAAGCAGAATACTAGACCGAGATATGATTAATTAAGCTTTGATGCATCCCAGGCTTGTGCCAAAAGCAACCAATGAAATCAAATCCCTATGTAGTGTCAGGTACTTCCCACCACAGTTCTGACCACACTTCCCATACTGATTCTACCATGCAATTATTACAAACACATGCTTTTAAGTTTTCACTACCTCAAAGCGACAAAGACCGTCCGTGCTTGTTGACTGCTGAGTTCTTCCATGTTCACTTTTTGTTTGTCTTTCGCAGCCTGACGGAATTGATTCGTAAAATCACTGGAAAGCCAATCCCCAAGGATTGCCGTCTCTTGATATTGTCCATGGTCTGTGAAAACGAAGAACTTGATGATGAATTGCCACCTGTTCATGTCATGCTTCAAACCAACCAGTAGTCAGAAATAAATTACTTGTGCAACAGATCAGAAAGGAAGCAATCTCATTCAATCAGACAGAAGCGGTGACAGTGGCTGGTCTGAACACAAATTAAATGCAAGAATGCGCTTTGGTGAAGGGATGAAGTGATGTGCCCTCTCCAGTCTACCACTTAAATTTGCCTGCAGGAGTTATCCTACTCCTGAGGGCCATGAACAGATAATTTGTTGGAAATGAATATGAAGTGCATCTTACAGAAGTTCTTTTGTTGTACCCTGAATCTCACTTCTCCTTATGTTCCTATATCACATCAGTTGGGTGCCTGGCAACATTACATTAACCTGCTCTACTTTGCCAGAAAGTTTATTGAACTGGCATCCACCTTGAGCGTTGGTCTATGATTTGTAGGCAGCACTGCAAATGTGGGTGGGGATTCACCTCGTAGTCCAGCACAGCTGAAAGGCTCCAGGCTAGGAACATCTACCTTAAAGGATGGGATATTTTCATTATCTCAGCACCGAAAGACCTAATCTTCAACGTTCAACTAGTATTTCCAATTAGATGAGAGCTCAAGGGACACGCCAGGAGAGGTTTTGGAAAGTCAGTTGCAATTAGAACAGGCAGCGTTGGGCTAGAAGTAGCAATAATCAACCAGAGTACCTTCAAGCTTCCAGCTGTCCCTGTAGTTTGAATAAGTGCAATGGGAAGAGAGACATTGGAGCACTGTGAGATATTTGAGAGGCGATAACTTGTGCTGTAGTTGAGGGCAAAATCTGATTTTAAATGCCTTGATTGTTGATTAGGCAGCGTGGCGCAAACCATTGTCTTTTTTCTTACAGTAAGATAGGATTATCATGGGGATGAATGAGACTTTGTAAATCATTCATTATGCATGCCGAAAGGAAGATCAGAAGCTGCCTTATACAAGGGCTTCATCATCTGCCTCGCTACCTATCTCACTATTTAACAATTATGGGTGGAGTTCTTTTAAGCCCTACGTGCAGATACCAAGGACTGAATGGGCATCTTGCATTTAAAATACGTGCTCTCCCAAGGTAGCCTGCTCCCGATTACACATTGTTGCCAATGGAGTTGATAGTGCCCATGGCTTTTCAGGATAAACCACAGCCTCCCTGATTGTTGGCCACCTGGACTTCATGAAGGAAACTCACTATTGCAGATAGATCCAGAAGAAATGTGTGTATTTATAAGCAAATTGCTTTGCTGTATTGTCCCTAGTTTTAGTTGTTCTGTCCACTCAGATCCGTCTTCATTGTGACAGCTCTATAGATACCGGTAGTCCTCAACTTAGGACTGTAATAGAGTCTGCCCATTATAGTCATAAGTCATGAGGGCTGTAAAGCAGGCTATCAGGTGACCAATCTGATTATACAAGCTATCTTTTGCAGCAGTTAAGTGCAGCCATTGTTCACTGTGAGGTTTTCTTTTTTGCCAAAAGCCACAAGTAAACATTGGTTTTCAGTGGTCACATGATTGCAGGATGTTGCAAATGGTCATAAGTGCGGGCCAGTTGCTGAGGATTCAAAATGCATTCCCATGATTGGGAGGGGCCAGCTGTCGTAACTTTGGAACCGGGTTGCAAGTACCTTTTAGGGGAATCTATGTAACTTTGAATGATCATTGAGTGAACAGTCGTAAGTTGAGAACTAGCTTATGTGTAAACTGCTACCTTGCAAACTCCATCATCTTTTGCCCCAGCTACTGAAACATCCAGCTCTTTGAAATTGGTTTCTCACAACATTTGATTTCCTTTCTGATAAGAAAGAAAACAGTGTGCCAATAATGTTAAGAATTGTTAAGAACAACTTGGCTGACAATTCCGTGTCTGTGGTTTGATTTTTAAGAAAGAGTGTGAGAACTTCACTCCTGTGAAACTTCTCAAGCAACAATTGTAATAACATCTGATGAAGATAACTGAGTAGATTTCCTTTCTTCATTTCTAATTTAAATCAAATGCTTTAGATTAGATTCATTCTGCCCTTTATGGCAAATTGCCCTGTGACAAATTGCATATTCTGTTTACAGTAAACTGCTAGCAACACATTAAAGTAATGAGACAGAGTTGATGATGAAACTACGCCTCATTCGTTTCCGCAAAAGCCCTGCTCTGAATAAAACTGCCTTTGAATCACAGGCTGGGCAGAGAATTCCTCTGCTCTTCCAGCTTTTGTTCCTGTTTCCTTCACACTGACTAGGCCAGTTTCATTATATTCACAGGATTGAAGACTTGGATGTATTCACACAACATGCTAATACAGTTTTCTAATTACAAACAGGTTACGTTTCAAGACACTGTTTATAAATCCATTTTGTTTGTAAATATTTTTTTAAAAAAACTTGTACATTTCTTACCATGTATAAGTGGCACTTATGCTTAATTCCCGACACATTGTAATTCATAGTTACTACAGAAAGTCAAACTAAGCACCACAAGATCAGCGAACAAACAGGATGGGACAGCATCCAAACAGGTGTATCTCAGGCTCCCTATGTGAGGCAATGCTGTGAAGCATACATATGTGGCATGCTGTAAACAAACCCTTTCTGCCTTTCTCTCACCTTGTGGGAACCTTCTAGTTCAGGGGTATCAAACTCACGGCATCATGGCGGCATCACGTGACATATGGGGACTTCCCCCCCCTTCGCTAAACCGGGCGTGGGCGTGGCCAGCACGTGATGCAGGCCAGGAGTTTCACAGCCCTGTTCTAATTGGAGTTGAGAATAGGTTTGTTTGTATCAAAGTTTGTAACTTGAAAATTCGTAAGTATAGATAGTCCTTGACTTATGAATACAATTGAGCGCCAAATTTCTGTTGCAAAGCGGGACAGTTGTTAAGTACTTGAGTTTTGCCCTGTTTTACAACTTTTCTTGCCACAGTTGTTAAGTGAATCACTGCAGTTGTTAAGTTAGTAGTTAGGTCATTGCAACTGTCATAAATATGAGTCAGTTGCCAAGTGGCTGAATTTTTATCAGATGACTGTGGTGATGCAGCAGTCATAAGAGTGAAAAACTGTCATAGGTCAGTTTTTGTAACTTTGAACAGTCACTAAATGAATTGTTAAGTCAAGGACTACCTTTATTGGTTAATTTTTATTGGTTAGTTTTAACCTTGTTTGTTTTGCTTCTTTATTTACATCAAGTGTTTTGGGTAAGCCTAATACTACTGGCTAGTTTAAGAGTCACTGTATCATGTGAACCCAGAAAGTGAAATAGATAACCAAATCCAGAATACTGCACAAAATGTATTTTACTGCAACTCCCATATTTTCCTAACAAGTATGGCTGTGCTATCCAGGAGTTATGAAAGCCAATGTAGCTGAAGAGTACAAGTCTTCAGACTAGGCAATGTAATTCGCCATTTAAAATCTTCCCCAGGGATTTCTCTTGTGACTCAATTTACTTTCTATCCCAAGAAACCCTGTCTTGTCTGTCTGGATAGGAATAACACCATGCACCAAACCCAGTGGCATTGTAGCTGCCACGAAACCAGATTTATCAGAACTACTATGCTACTATTTTTAAACATGAAGTTTGAAGAAAAGATTAAGGATGTACAATTTGGCTGAGTATGATTTAAATAGCATGCCAGACGTTTTGCCAGAAAGTGGTAGGTGAGCCCAGAACAAAAACCACATTTCATTTCATTTCCTACTAACTGAAATGAAATATAGTTAGGCATCTATTGGACACATTCTCCTCCTAGTATAGTAACAATTATCATTTTAGAAACAGCTGTTGGTTATCTCTGGGAGCCACACACAAAGTGTGAAGGAACCGCAAAATCCAGGGCTATCAAGTTGTTCATCTTTGATGCAAATGGTTTCAAGCTGTCCAAAATGCTATTTCAAATACCATATAAGCTTGTTTCTCTTTTCTCTCTTACCTTTATTCCATGAAATGCATTAAAGCACCTCAGTTCTCCTAGTGATGGTATTTGAGTAACAGCTATAGAAGTGTCCATGCTGGATTTTATGTTCCTTTAAAGTAGGGCTGTCAAACTTGGATGCGTCACGCGCTGGCCATGACCACGCCCAGTTTAGTGAAGGGGGGGGAAAGTCACGTCATATGACAATGCTTTGATGACTTGAGTTTGACACCCCTGCTTTAAAGCCTCACTACTCAGCGCCCTGTGTTTTGGACTTATATTTTTGCATATTTACCAAAATATATATTGTATTGGCTATGTGTAAACGCTATATGCAAATAATGCTATCCAACATCTAGTTGTAGCTGCTCAAGAGTGGCAAAAATGGGTCAGCTTTCAGGGTGCAGTTCAGTGGGTTCATTGATGTGCAAATTTAAGCATAGATTTTGTTCTCCGCAGTAGCTTTTGCATCATATTAAAAAGTGTGTATTTATCAATAGAGTAATTCAAGATTGTTAGAGAGTCTTGAAGTCGCACTTGTTTTCTTAGCTTGCAATAAACTACTGTCTACTGCTAAGTGGACAGAAAGCCCTCTGTTTAGTGCTGGATATAGATGTCAGTCTTCAAGGACCCTCGTTATGAATCATCCTCCCTTCCACTTCACTTTTAATACCAGATCCTCAAACAGGACCTCATTTGCCATTAATTAGTTTCTTACTGAAAACCGTAGTGTTGAATTGATGGCACAAATACTAACGTAGTGTCTGAAGAGGTTTTTTTGGATGGTGGTGGTGGTGGGGATAATAGATTTACCTCTTCAGTTCTGACCAGAAAGAATCCCACAGACACCCAATTTATTACATAAAGCAGACCCTGGAAAAGGCTTTTACCTCAAAGGTCAAACTAGACATAATGGCGGGAATATGTTCTGTTGTTAAAAACACGGTTCTTCTGCAAGTAGATCAGTTTGTTTTTCAAACTTGACAACTTTTAAATTGTGTGAATATCAGCTTTCAGAATTCTGGGAGTCGGAGTTCACACATCTTAAAACATGCCAAGTTTGAACCACACTGATCTAGACAGAGCAAAAGAGAAGAGGAAGAGAATGGCTTGGAGCATCTCTTGAACACAAGAGGAATGTTTAAGTGTCCGTGGTTGTACTGGAACTGAGGTCTTAATGTATTCCAATGAGCCAAAGGCTGAATTGGGTAAGCATCATGAAAAGGGAAAAAAGATTGTGATTCTGGGAAAGTTCTGTATTCCAGATTTAAACACGCCTTTCATTGTCATAACTTAAATCTCTACCCCGTGTCTTTATCTACAGTCTATATTTAAATACAAAGATCTACTGCTGTTCTATCTAGCTTAGCCAGCATGGTGTGGCATATCAGTAAATTGATACTGGATCACGATACTTGAAATTGTGATTTATCCTGCAACAGTATTTCTGATCTGAAAGTGGGGAGAGGCCACCGCTGAAGCATTATATACAGTGTACCTTGTATAGTCAAGATTCTTGGTTGAATGCTCAGCAATTGTCCTTCCTGGGATGCTAGAGGCAGGGTGGGAGCAAATCAAATTACAGCTTGCCCGATTTATCTTAATTTATGACATAGTTGGCTCTCACTTTGCACTAATCCATAGTTTGTTTAGCCATGATTGATTGAATAAACTGTTGCTGAGTTTATAAAAACACCTTCTCAGCAGAATTAGCCGGAGCAATCACATTGGAGGATGTTTATGTGTTTCCCCTCCGGGTATTGTGGGATCGGTTAGCAGTGTATGTCTGGCACTCACCTTGGTCAAGGAAAGATGATGTAAAGGTTGGAGCCTGAAAAGGCTCTTGATGTGCGAGACAGACGGCACCTCTTCAAACTGTGTAGCTTATGCAAAAGATAAAGGCCAAACAGAACACCTGGGAAATTAAGCTGATCGAGTCTGCTGTTTTTAAAGGTGCTATTTTTAACAAGGTGGTGATTAATCCGTTAGAAAAGCCTCACAAAAGCATAATGTTGGCTTCTCCTTTGCGCCAAGGTTCATGACTGCTCCGTAATTTTCATGAGCAGTCTGTAGTAGTAGAGAGAAACTACCCAACAGCCTATATCTATATTGCCGTTATTGTAAATAAAAGGAGAAAAATCCCCTTGGCTTTTCTTACATAGAAGGCAGATTTTGGGGGGGTAATCCTTTAGATCTAGTGATTAGAGGTAGAGGCGTGTGTTAACTAGAAGAAGGCTTGCTTCTTTTTTTTCCTGCTCTTTTGCTGGCTGATGATGCAACTTCCAGAACAAAATTAGCAGGATGATGGCTCATAAACCAATTGTTTTAGGGCTCATTCACATAACTGTGCTAAGAGGAGTAGGGCTTGTGATAAAGAAGGGGATTTGTCACTTATCCCTTAGTAGCATGTTGGTAAAAGACTCCAGTTCAAAAGGTATGAGCTTGGAATCAGCCAGACAGGCCACGGGGTTTTACCATGTTACTGGCAGCATTGCAATCTCACGTGGCTTCCGTTTCATGTGGGAACTTTTAACTTTTATCCACCCCCCTTATAACTTAAGGGCATTAGAATATCCCTTCTCTATGTTGGCAGTACA